AATTGAACAGAGCATGTTCTTGGTTGCACAGTCAGAAACATAATCATCAAAGTACTTGTCATATAGCAGGCTGAGAATTCCTGCCTGGGGGTGTCCAGTGAGGTCTGACAGACAGATTTGGGAAAACAGCAGGCACCACCAGGCAGAGTAACTCTGAGGTCACTCTCTTAATTCAGTGATCTGGGGCAAATGCAAATTCTGACTCAGTGGTGAAAGTCATCATAGGCAATATGTAAATAAAAGGTCATGGCTGTGTTCTAATAAAAGTTTATTTGCAAAGACAGGGGCAGACTGGACTTGGCTCCCTGGGCTGTAGTTTGCCAACCTTTGGTTAAGAGAATTGAATCAGATGGTCAGTGTACAATGCTTAGGTCAATGTCTAGAACATAGAACATACCTAATAAAATGAAAGCTATTAGAAAGATTATGATGCTTATCATTATGATTGGCATCTGTCAGTCTACTGGACTTGGCCAACTGCCATGATCCGGAAGTTTCTTGGATTCTGACATCTGTAATAACAAACTCTCGTGGTTCTTCCTGCCAGCACAGCTTTGCAGAGCATAATGCTTCATGGACAAAACTTAGTAATTCCCCTCTCTTTAGGTATGTTCCGTTATCATGCAAGAATTCCTAGAGTCCTTCACAAATTCCAATCTTTTCGATTGGACACATTAGTTTAAAGTATATGATTATTTCTAATTGGATTCAGTGAATGGGCCACAGGACTACTAGAGGCATAATTGATAACTACTCTGTGGAGCAATTCTAACTCTTTTTCCTGAACCTTTTGATCAGTTAAGATTTGATTGTATATTAGATAACACTCAAAATGACATCTGTAGCCTTGGGCTCGGCCTATGATTACTGATGTATTTTTCATTTGCTTCAGTGGAAAATTGTTGACCACATACACAAAGAAAAGCAACTCTTAGCAAAGTGTAGAAACAGGAGGGTTGTGCCGACCTCTGAATCTTTATGGCTCCAAAGGCAGAGAATAATAGGGTATATGACATAGGGAATGACCACAGCTACATTTAATTATGTAATAGGCTCAGCAGATCTCGGAAAGGCATTTTAGGGTTCCCTGGGGCTAAATCTGAATCCCCTCCCTGAAGCACCAGGGTCTACAGCCTCATTCCCTTCACCCAGGAGATGGGTTTGGGCTCCATCAGCCCCACTGACCCCTCTCTGGCAAACTCCCCTACAGGAGGTACGGAGGTGGCTCCTTGCTCTTATCCTTGGCTATTCCAGCTCTGAGGTCCTGTTATTTTTCTTTTTTACCAGCCACGATGTTTTAAACATTACCCACAGAGTATTGGAGCTGGAGACAGAGAAAAGAGTTGAGTTCCTGACCCTAATATTAACCAGTGCTGGGTGACCAATTACGGGCCTCTGTTTTAGGTTTTAGACTCATGCCGGGGTCGCTCTAGCTCTAGCCAGCTGGGTAAATGAGTGCCGTCTGCACTTCCTTGTGCAAGGTTGAACAAGGAGGTATTTAACCTTCCTTGCTTATGTAAAGGGATTTATGTATCTATTATTCATGAACTCACCTGCCCGGAGCCCGAATCTGGACTATCAAAAGCGGATGAGGATGATCAATGCTGAGGACAGTTTGAGTAGGTGTAAGTGGTTTTGTAAGTTAACCTAACCTTTTCATAAGAAATTTTCTTAAGTAAATAATTTTTTAATAAGTTAAATGGAGCCAGACAAGTAAATTAAGTGAATGAATTGAGTAATGTGCTATTTCTCAAGCTCCTATCATGAGCACCATTGTAGTAAGTAATGGAGGTGAGACAGACAAGCAGTGGGGGAGGCAACGGGCCCAGCCTAAGCTCAGTGCTGGGCATAGAATCACCAGTTACCTGAGGGAATAATGGTGCGGCCACAGAGTACAGGTTCAGCTCCATCCAGTCTTAGAATGAGTTTTGGTCAAAGTGGAAAATGCCCTTATATTATGTATTAGGGACTGACCATGTGGCAGGTGCGCTAGGCAATCTGGGCACATTAACTGACTTTGTCACAGCCCTCCTCCCAACATGAGATTGGTTCCATTCTTCTAATTTTGTAGGTATGAAAACTGAGACTCAGGCACATAAAGTAACTTATGGACATGCTACAGGCAATCAGCAGTAGGGTCAAGAATAGACCGGAAGTGTCTGCCTCTGGGCTGTTCTTAGCCACTGTCATGTAGTGCCTTCCTGAGAACTAGAGGCTTGACCACCTCTGTTTCTGTGGACCTCATGCCCAACTTGCCAGGGGGAATCTGGGCACTTTTCCTGCTATTTGGCTTGACCCCTGTCTTGGTTTCTTGAGTTTCTCCAGTCTTCTACTGAGTCTGAAATGTTTGCCCTGAATCCACTTAGTTGTCTGGAGTCTCGAAAAACGGCCTATTGCTTGCTGGCCTTGTTTCTCTGGCTCTCAGCTTCTGGTCCTTGTACCACCAACCTTTCTCTGCATGAAGTCAGCTACCAAGGGACTGATCAACCAGAATTAGTGGGTTTGGGGAAATGCCCAGCCCCTCCATGCCTGCTTCTCTATCCGCCCACTGAGTCAGACTCACCCTTCTTGCTTTCAAGGCCACCTGACACTAGATACTGGACTGGTGATCACCAAACTTGAGGCTATCCTCTATGAGAATGTCTATGACAGAAAACAGTTTTGGAGCGACTTCCCAGCTGTGGGACCTTGGACACACCACTTGCTTTCTCTGAGGCTAATCGCTCAGCTTGTTAGGGGGCATGGTACTGGCACTTTCCTCATGCCGGTGCGTGGAGTGAGGTGGATATGGTGAGGATGAGAGGTAAAGGATGAAGACCTCCTGACATGTGGTGGCTGACTTTGTTACAGTGGCTCTTTGTTAATTGATCTTTTGGGGGTCTTATCACTCTTGAGATGGTGGCCATGATCTGTTGCCCTTTTGTTATAAAGTCAGCCTCACTCTGTCACCCTCCCAAATTTATACAGACCCAAGGAAAAAGTCTGGCATGCACGTAAGTTAATTAAGAAAATGAACCCAATCAAAGGAGGCAGAGGTAGTTAGGAAGGAAAAAAGAGAGAGAATTGGGTTCAAAGTGTGGCTGTTAATTACTTGCTCTGGATTTATAATGCCAAGAGGGTCCATCAACCAGAATACAGAATGGAGGATTGAAATAAATTAACAGAGAAACTCCGCCTTGTGTTGATTCTCAGTAACAGGCCAGAATTCTTGTGAGTAATTAATAGCAAGTTAGGAAGTCAATCTATGCAGACATAGATGCAGGTTTTGTAGAAAACTTTTTAGGGATGAAAGCAGAGCTCATGAGGAAATGGTGAGCTCCTTCACAAGAGTGAATCCCCCTTATTAATTCCTAAGGGAAGTCACACCTTACGAGTAGGGGTTCCCTGACTGCAGGGTGGTGGTAGACTTGAGGGCAGCATGGAACTGGGGAGATGAGCTGAGCGAGGAGAGGTCAGCCCCAGAGGGAAGCCACATTCTCCCTCATTGGCTCTGTGACAATGGGCAGCCACCTACCTCTCTGAGCCTCACATGTTTACTTTGAATGAAGGACAATGCGCACCCCATCTACCCTCAGGGCTCTTGTGAGGATCAAATGGGAGAAAAGATTTTGTAATTTGTTAAGAGCTGTGAGATCTGAGCAGCCATAATGATGAAGATGATAGTTGTCATGAAGGTGATGTTGTAAAGGATTTGGGATGAAGCTAATGGGAAGTTGAAGTTGAGTTCTAGAGGTTACAACCCATGGACAAACATTGGGCCAATTATCCACCCCAAATACCTCTCCCGGCTCCCCCAGGCCTCCACTGGGGTACTTTGTTACAGCACATGTGTAACCCCTGCTCAGCGTGTGTTCTTTCTTGGTACTGCATGGCCATTGCGCTTTCTGCCCATTCATCAATCTGTCCTTGTACTGCCTACTACCATCTACCTGTTTTTGCTCGGGGGAGCGCCAGGGATTAAGGGAATAGCCTGACCGTGTGTTATGCTGTGGGCAATGCCAGGAGCTATGCTTTCCTCACACCATTACAAGCTCTTAGCAGAATGATGGGATATATTTATTAATCCCATTTTGCATTTGAGAAAAGTGAGGCATATCCAGCATAATACAAATATTAAATAACAGAGCCAGAGTCAGGGCCAGATCTGCTTAATTCTTTTCAATAAAAACTAACTCTTAGAATGCTTCGCTTTGTTCTGCTCAGCTAAATTGTGTTTTCAATTTTTCATACAGAAATAATCATGGCTTCTGTGAAAAGATCTTATTTAAGGGTCCAAAGCAACAGCTTGAGTCTTCAGGGAAATGAAGTTTTGGTCTTTGCTGAAAGTACAGTTATTAAAGTAAAGGGTTAGCCCCCTAAAAGTTAACCACCAGTGCTAGTAGGAAGCTTCTAGGTTAACTAAAGAACATGCTACTTTGATAGATTCTGGTGGTACCTTGTGCATGCGCATTGTCCACTGCCCTGCTGGTCACCAGGAACGAGGGAGATGTTTTCAGAGTTAGTAGGTACATGTGTGTTGCGCTGTCTGCCAGAAGAAGCGGTGGCCTTTGGAAGCTGACATCATGCTGGATGTGATTTGCAGAGACACTCTTGATGCCTCCCTCTGGTAAAGGTACCCTAGATCTTCCAGTGCCAACCAAATAGGCCCTCTTGGGGAAGTCAACACTTGAATGTGATTTGCAATTTCTAAAAACACAAATAAGATAAAGCAAAACCCTCCAGAGAGAAGGAATACAAAGCTTCTAAAGAGCAGCGATTGAGAACAAAGGTTGACATTGATGTTTCCCCAAGCACGAAGACATTCTAGGGGGAATTAGTAGGTGTCACACACAGTGGGGGTTCTGTATGCCCATAGATGTGATCGATGTCATATTTAAATCATGTTAAGCACTTATAATACTGCAAAACTTCTCAGAGAGTTCATAAATGTACTTGGTCCTCTCTCCCACACGCCTTCACCCCTCTCCCCATAATGACTCTCTGTTCCATCTCTCCTGCAGGGTTCAGTGAGACATAACTCAGACACGCTGGAGTCGGCTCGGCAGGTGAGCCCAGCAGGTGTAGCAGATGTGTTCTCCGGATCCATGCTCTTCTCTGAGGCAGACGTAGCTGTCCCATTTGTTATTTTAAATGAAAAGCCATTTAGAAAAGAAAATGTCTTATTTACATGCCTAGATTATGTGTCTTCACCTCTTATTTACGCATTCCTGTAGTCAGCCTCCAAAACATGACTCCATAACCCTTAGTTTATGTAGGAAAGATAAACAAACAAATTCCCTGGATGTGTTCTGTAATATTCTTTCAGAGATTATTTACTAAGCAACTTACATGTGCCAGATCTCTGAAAGGGACTGTGATTTGAAAATAAGAAATATAACTGCTAATCTCAAAGAGCTCAGAGTCTGGTGTGTTTGTGTATGGGTATGTAAAACAGAAACAAACAAATAAAAATCATCATTTATGCAACACTGTGATTGAGTGCTATCTCAGGAATGGAAGCAGAGGCATGAAAGGCCGGCAACCTACCCTCCCTGAGAGCACCCTAGCAATGAGAAACTAGCTCCTCTTGGTAAACTGAAAAAATACACTCTGAAATAGTTCCATTGAAACTTCTAGATCAATACAATTACCTTACTGGTGATTGTGTGAAATTGTGAGGCCTTCCCAATGGAACTCTGAAGATTTTTGTACTTCCCTTCCAGCCTCCCTGACTTTCTTCTGTGATTTAGATTTTGCATCTGAGGCCACATAATTAAATTACTGTTATGTGGGTCTTAACGGAGTCTGTTGAAATAAACCAAAATGAAGGCAGTTATTGATTTTTCTAGAAAACATAAGTATTTTAATTGCTCTTTAAATTGTTAATAATCTGTAAGTATTAGTTTTGTTTAAAGAATGCATCAACGAACAGCAAGATTTAGATAACTACTGTGCCTAAGTAGAATACATTTACTTCTTCCCTAAATATCACTTATCAATCACCGTTTGTCATTATTACAGGCTTATTGTTAAAGTTTTAGCTACTTAAGCCTGACCCATTTTCCTAGTGATGAGCTCCTGAGCTGTCCCTATGCTTTTTCTATAACAATTAAATTGGTTTAGAGGCATCTGAGTTGATGTTGATGCTCTAGTGTTTACATGGAAACATGAATGAATCCCACTTAGAGAACAAGAAAGGAATGATTCTTACCATAGTCTGTCCCCCCACCAGAAAATGAATCTCAGAGGAGTGTAGGGAATTTGTCCTAAATATTGGGAAAGAATACTGAATTATGCTAAAATAAGAGAATCATACAAGAAATAGATACCCCCCAGGTGTTAAAGTTCTACAGAATAGAGGACACGGGACACTTACAGTACGTACTATACAACACGTGCTTAGCAACCCATTTTAAACGGGGGAGGATGGATTGCCTTTACATCTTCGATGTTTACAACTGACTCTGTTGTTTATCAGAGACATTCCCAGAATGGACTCATTCGCTTTTTGGTGGTATGCAGTTTTGGAAAGTGTCGGTGGAGAGATGGTTGCTTCCTTCTGCAGCCATTTCCAGGCATCGGAATCATTCTAATTGTTCCTGGTAACATGTTCAGGACCATCTTAGAGTGGTGTCAGACCCTCTCTCCTGCCCTACCAACTTTACTGGCCTAACTAGTGCTATAGGAAGTCCAACCTCTTTTCCCCTCTGATGGCTGCACGGCTGATTCTATGGCTGGGGTCCCAGCTGCCTTCTCCTCCATGCAGTGGCTCTCTGGTTCTTTCCAACTCAGTCTATATCCTGGACATCATGATAAGCCTATAATAATGTCTCTGTGTTAGAGTTTCTATTCACTCCTAAGACCTGGTATTTGAGACAGTGAAGTCGCTTCTGATTTTCACTCTGCTCCTATGGAGGATTGCTACTGTGATGACCCAGATGTACTCATACTTCTCTGTGTCCATCCCTGGGAGGATCCTATCACACTGCCATTGAGCTTGGCCACACAGCTTTTCAGCTAATGGAATAACAGCAAACATGACAGCTCTCAGTTTAGGTGCTGCCTGGGACTTGCCTTCCTATGTGCACATCTCTGAGTCACCCAGAGCTGACCAGCCACTTTTGCCCAGGCCTCACCTGTCCCCCATTGTGGGTACTGTTTGGACTCTTGTCTCCTAGTGTCATCTGGACTGGTCTACCCTAGCCTTGGAGCTGCGTCTGCCAGAAGCTGCAGATAGGAGCTAAGAGCAGAGCTCCTGCCATAGGGCCTCTGGGAAAGAATCCTTAGACTGGTGAGAGAATTAGCCTGAGGTGCAGAGATGCCACCATTGAACACTGCGCTGATGTTCTGTCTGGTGATGAGCAGTTTAAGGGATCAAGGGAAGAAACAGGTTGGGGGGATATGAACTATAAACCACAGGTCAGAGAGCAGGAAAGGCCAGCACGCTGCTGAATCAGCCCCAATGGACTTGCATGTGAGGGAAGGGCAGACTCTGGGAAGGCAGACCCACCGCTGGACTCGCACTGCAGCATCTGGAATCTCCAAACATTAGGTGCTTTGCCCAGTCAAGCTGCATAAATGGGGTCGTACCCTCCCAAGTGCTGAGATTTTACAGCAAACGGAAAGTAAAATTTCCCAGTGACAAACCTCAACTACCTAGTTCGAGCTGCTTCATGTAAACTAAACATATTAATAAATTTAACTGTGAAAGAATCTGTATAACTTTTCAGATTTTCCAGTTAAAAGAAAGAAGATGCAATTCAGAACATTTCCATGAAGGTAATTACATAATGTCAGACGTCCAGGCAAGACGTACAGACACCAGTGTTTCATAATCAACCTAAAAAAAAATTATACTCATTGCATTTCATTTTATTTAGCTTCACCCCACATTGTGGGTTACACAGAGACACACACCAATCACATTGTGGAGGAAACTGACTTGGATTTGAGTCTGGGCAATGCCAGTGACGAGTGTGTGGCGCGGAAGAAGCTACGGCAGCATTTGAGACTCGGTTTCCTTGGAAAGTGAGAGCAAAGTTATCGAGAGGATCTGAGGACTGATGTGGACACACACACACACACACACACACACACACACACAAGCAGAAGGAGTAAGGCGGGCCTGGTGCAGTAAGAGGTGCCAACAAAAATGTCCCACTAGCATTATCAGCCTGTGTATTTTAAAACTGCTAGTCATTTCCCCATAATTTCCAGAAGAAGATCAAAAGGGAAGCAGAGTGCCGACCTACCCGTCAGGCACGAGGGGCCGCTCAGCCTTGCGCCTGTTTGTGTGACCACCATCGGGGTTCCCGCTTTCTCACTCTCCTGAGTACAAGACTGGAGAAGATCGGTCGCCTTCCCCCGGGGACGGGGCTGAGTGGGGGCGGCGGGGGGACGAGCGGCTGGAGAACCGAAAGAATCACGATGTTGACACACACATATGTGAGGAAGGCTTTACAGTTGCTTTCAAAAGAAAGGAGAGAGAAAAAAATCCTTCTACTGAAAATTGTAAAACATGCTGAGTCTTTTGTACCCTGGGTTGATGCTATTCAGAAGGAATTATATGGTGGTGATTTATTTATACCAAGTATTTAAGGAACTTGCCAGAGTGATGGAAAATGCATAGGTCTGCACTTTAGTCTGTTGCCAGACATAAGATGGGGAAAGGCAGGGCCAATTTGGAAAGAGAGGGTTGGAGGAACCCCCAGGAGGCTTATGAGGCAGTGGAGAGGGGAGGGAAAGAGACATTTTAGAATTAAAACCACACAAATAACGTGTGACATTTTCTTTTGAATGTCCCTAATTTTCTATCTCTAAGAGCATGATGAGTGGTAGGTTTCCTGGGGGGTCTGTGAGCACATGGTGGGCAGCAGCATGTGGGTGGGAAGGGCACAGGGTCTGGGTCCAGTCTGGCCTGACTCGGATCCCAGCTCTGCTTGTCTAGCGGTGTGACCTCGGGGAGTTCTTTATCTCCCCTGACCTTTTCCTGGGCTCTGTACTATTGTCCCTAGTTATATATATTGTCCCTGAAACTGAATGAAAATTGAGTCAGAACAGTTAAAACAAGCTTGGGCGAGAAACTTACAGAGCAGAAGAAAAATCTAAACAGAGGCCTCTAGGTCATAAAGGAATTTGAGCTCAAATGCAACCAAGGGTCAACCTGGAAGGTAGACACAGAAACTGCAGTGTGGGGGAGAGGCGCTGAGGTTTAAATTGGACTTGGGTTTTACAGCATGACTATCTTTTGTTTTCTCTTTTGAAGCATCTGTGTATGTGTATATAGTGAGAAAGTAAGACATGCAGTTACCTAACTCTTCATTAGTACAATTCATTATACAGGCAAGACAGTGAACAAAACACTTCTCTGAATTTCTCTTATCCCAGGCTTCTGCTTAAAGTGTGGTCCCTCCACTAGCAGCATCTTCGTCACCTGGGAACTTAAGAGAAAAGCACATTTGGCAGCCCCAGCCCCAGACAAAGGATCAGAAGCTCTGGGGTGGGGCCCAGCCCTCCCAGTGGTTCTCCTCCCATTAAAGTTTTCCACACCAGTCAAACGCTCCTAGCAATTTCTTATGTACTTTTCCAGAGATTTAAAATCATATACAAGAAGAGACACATGCAGATGTACGTGAGATGTAGACAGAGATGCACATGCCAGTATAACAGACACAGACAGAAGTGGTTTCTTCGATGCTCCTGAGGTCTGCTTCAGACTCACCTGACAGTAGATGTGGGTCGGTACCACAGGTAGAGGATCAGTTCCAGGACAATGCATTTGAAGTGTTACCAAGTCCCAGCTCACGCCACTTGCCGCAGGACAGGCCAAAAGTCAAGAGACAAGGTGTAGACGCACATGTAGTTACAGATGCAATTTAGATACAGTTGCAGACATAAGTGCGGATGTATACGTACAGGTAGTGTATTGGTGTAGTGGTGCATGTAGGTGAGATACAGATGCAGGTGCAGATGGAGATGTAGGAGATGATGCACATGTAATTGTACATATAGATGTAGATGAGTATGTAGGTGAGATGTGGCTATAAAACTGGATGTTGGTATAGATGTAGCCATAGGCTTAAGTGTAGATACAAGTGTGGACGTAGCTGTAGAAAGATGTAGATCTATGTGTAGATGTAGGTGCAGGAATAGCTACTTCCCCACACTCCCTTCCTCTGTGTGCCATTTGTATACATTATTCTTGCTTTCCCATAGCTTTCTGTCTTCCCTTTTCTCTTGGGGATTGCTCCCAGCACTGCAAAGAGATGGACTTACACTTTCGAAGCCCTTAGGTTCTCCATTATATAAATGAGCTGTAACTGATTTTTCCCAGTCCCCTATTACGGAACATCTCAGTTGCATCTAGTTTTCAATCTTACAGACAAGGTCATAATAGTTTTTCATTCGCACCTGCATTCTTGGAATACGTGTCCGTCAACAAATAAAATGAAGTGGAATTGTGGTGTCAACGG